AAGTGTGTGTGTGTGTGTGTGTGTGTGTGTGATGTTTGATGAGTCAGCAGCCTTTGCAAAAAGTATTGCTGTCGCACTCAGAACTGTGTGACAGTTCCAGTGGCGTCTGTTGCCAGTGAAAACTGAGGAACACTGGGTCGGTCCATCTGTGGAGGCCTGGCTCAGCCGCAGCAGTTACTGTGTCCCCCTCCGCGAAGAGTCTGGCCCCCGAGACTTTGCTGCAAAGAAAGAGTCTGGCCCCGTGACTTTGTTACAAAGAAAGAGTCTGGCCCCCGTGAGTGACTTTGTTACAGGAAGCCAGTCTCACTGGTCCACCCGACGGAGTTGCTTCCAGTACGACAAGATTATTCCGTCTCACAGATCTGTTTCTGTTTAAGGAGATGACGAGTTTGGCTCAGGCCGCAGGGTGTCGGGATGTCCAGATCCGAACGGCAGTGTTCCACCAGAAGGCTCCTGCCTGCCCACGACGGGTCGCGTCCTTTCTCCTCTGCAATGTCTGCCTCCTTCCTCCCCTTCCTGCTGCGCCTTTCTCTGGCCTCCGTCGCCGGTCCTCTCCCTGGCATCCTCCCCTCGACGTGACCTGCACGGTGACCCCAGTGTTCTCCCTACAACCCCCCTAAGCTCATCCAAGTGCTCAGTTCCCCCGTGCAAGGCCAGTGTCCCCCCCACCCCACCCCCACCCCGCCCGCCAGCCTGTTGCTTGGGAGACCGACCAGGGCTCAAGCCCTCACTTGGCGGCCGGCCCTGGTGGGCGGGGTTTCACACGTGTAAATCTTTCAGGACAAACACTGCAGACTGGGCGGGTGACCTGCCTCCTCGGGCCCAGCGACGCCACAGGGGCCACCCCTGTGGAGCTTTCCCGCCCCTCCCATGACGTGCGGCTCAGCGAGGGGGAGCGTGGAGAGCCACCCCGAGGAGGAAGAGGAGGGAAAGAAGGCACGTCACCAGGGGCAGAGGGCGGAGCCGGCAGCCAGTTCCGGCGGCGGCGGCCCCGGGACCCCCCCACCCCGGCCGGCGTCTCTCACTGTGTTCCCACGGTGGCTTCTCACGCCGAGATGCTGGGCTCTGCCCTCCGCTCAGCACCCACCGAGGCCGGCGCCTCGTTCCCTGGGGTGGGGGACGGGTCGGGGGCGGGGCAGTGAGGGGCTGCTGTGTGACTTAACCCAAGAACGGTGGGCAGGAGACACACGCATGTGCCATCAAGGAAGATGACTCATATGCAAATTAGCTTCTGGCTGAAAGTTCAGGTGGAAGAAGATGAAGCAACTGTCCCTCCGTTCTTCCACCATCACCATCGTCAGTCCCCCGGGGGGCGGTCTCGGGGCAGTCCTGCTGCAGGGTGCGTACGTTTAAGCAGGGAGGGCAGAGCCCCCCCCCCCCAGCTTCCGGCGCCGCGGTCAAGGCCGAATGAAGCCCCGGGCCCACACCCAGGGGCGCTTCGCTTTCCTTCACGACCTGCTCCCAGGCCCACCCACGGGAGGGCGTCTCGTGGGAGGGGCGGCTGCCCTCTGAAGTAGGACGTCTGTTCTCTGCGCACCTGCAGACACAATGCCACCACGCGGCACCCAAGGCAACAGCCCCCCTCCCTCGCTCCAGTTTCCCAAAGCTGCCATAGTTCCGCCGTGATGGTTAGCGGCTTCCTCTCTCCGGTCGGCTCCCTCTCCACCGGGCGGGAACCAGGGTCAGGAGGTAGCGCGCCACGGAGGAGGGAACCAGGGGGATTCGGCCAAATCCCGCTCTCAAGTGCCTGGGGCTGGGGAGGCCGGGCCAGCTGTCCCCACTGTCACAGTCTCGGAAACCGTGACAACGGGGACTTTCCCCGAGGGGGCGGAAAGGGACGAGACAGGAGGGGCTGGAGAGAGGCCTGCTCTGCCGCGGGGCCCGCAGAGCTGTGCTGGAACTGCCCGTGCGGAGGCCCAGGTGTGTTCGGGGCTTCTGTTGCTTCGGGTGACACGTTCGTGCAACACACCACCAGTGACACCACCAGTGAGGAGGAAAGTTAGATCAAAAACACAGGCCTACACAGTACAGGCCCTGTGTTGTGATTAGACCGGACAGACATGACGTGACATTTTATCAAATGAAATAAATGAGCGTGGGGCTTCTGCACCAGCTTCTGGACTCTGAGTCACGCCGTCAGCTCCCGTCGTGCCCCCCAGACGGGTGAGGAGCAGGTCCGGACTGGCACAGCCTGGGCCATGCCCGGAGCGACAGGGCCGTGCGGGGCGTGGCTGAGGGACACCGTGACGCAGGTGTCCGGGCTGGGAAAGGATGGCAGCCCGGGGGACAGGTCCACTCACGGCCTTCGGAGCCTCCCAGCAGCAGTTTGTGCGCTCAGGGTCTCCCGTAACACAGGGGGGTCGAGAGAGGGGGGACAGGGGAGAACACAGCCCTGAAGCGGCCTCGCTAAGAGCGGCTAGAAAGGACAGCTGGACGCACCACGGCAGCTGCTGCGGATGGGATTCTAGGGGGCGGGGGGCCAGTCCCACCCCGACTGGCCCTGGGCCCAAGGCCCCAGCCCCCGCCCGCACTCGCTCAGCCCGGCCGGCCGCCGCACGCCGGCCAAGGCAAACACAGCCCTCCCCACGGCAGACTCGGCAGAAACCAGGGAGACCGCCCAGCTCGTCCTGTTGCACGGCCCGCTGTCCCCGTCCAGCCTCCTCGGCGGGACCACAGATGCCATGTGTCCATCCACAGCCAAAGCCAAAACGCTCGGACCCGGACACCGACGTGGTTCTCAGAGTTTCCCAGGCTGGCTGCAAGGAAGGGTCGCCAGCCCGCCCTTCCGAGGGAGCCGAGTCTCCCCCATGAGTGAGTGTCCCCGCCCCCGGCCCAGCCGGCTCGCCTCTGTCGGAGCCGGGGGACGGCTCCAGGCGCGGTGGGCACCTGGCGGTCGGGTCGGGTCGGGGCTGCGGGGGCCTGACCACCACCCGCTGGCCCGGCCAGCTCCCGGAGCCCGCCCCGCAAAGCCACACTCAGGACAGCCACCCCCCTGGCCGCACCGTGAAGGTGCTTCGCAACGCGGGAAAACTCTCGTGATGTCAGTCCTCACGACTCGGGAAGAGTCAGCTGAAAGGCACCGTAACCAGGCCCCCGGCCCCCACCCCCCCAGAAATGCAGCTGTGTCTCTCACACACACTGTCCGCCCCTCCCTCTCAGCGCAGACCGCCCCCACCTGCCCCGTCGTCCCCCTCACGGCCCCCACGGCTCCGGGTCCCAGCGGGGAGCCGCCTCTTCCTGCCTCTTCGCAGCACGGAGAGGTGACATGTCACCCGTGACCACGATGACTTGAACATTCACAGGGACATTCGGCTGCAGCTGCCACGTTTGGTTTTACCGAGTTTGCGGCTTCTCCTCACCGGGCTCCTCCCCGACCCGGCGGCAGGCGCCTGCGGCAGGAAGTCTCGCCGACTCCGCCAGCTGGGGGGGCAGGAGAGCGTTGCCTTCGCCACGTCCCTGTGAAGTGAGAACGGGACGTTTTCCCCCGTCCCGTGCTCTGGCCGTGTGTCTGCGAGCGAGCCAGGCGCTCCGGGTCCGGCCGAGGGCTCGGCCCCGGCTGCGCGCCGTGCAGCACTGGGCACACCGCGGAGCCCGATCCCTCACCGGTGACGCAGACACCATAGCTGCTCCGCCTTCCTCACCGGCGCCCGCCATGCACACGCAGGCACGATGATGTACAAAGGGGTTTGGAAATAATTTAAGGTGCTTATCAAATCACAGCGTGTAATGTATCATTGTAGCACTAGCAGACGACAGTTTGGAGGGGGGGTCTCTGGCAACCTGGCAAACGTAAGAGCCCTGGGTTTCCATTCCCCTTCACACACACACACGCACACACACACACACACGCAAGCACACACGCACGCACACACACACACAGAACAGAGGGTAGGATGCATGTGTCTCAGAAAAGGGAAGCGAGGGCTGTTCCCCGAAGGTGCTTCGGTCAGTGCTTCTGGACAGTAACTAGGTGCCCGCCTGGCTGTGTCTGTCTGTGCCCACTGTACACCATCTGCGGCCTGGACCGGCGCCTGGGGGAAGTCGGACCCCGGCCTGAAGTCTAGCGCGTCTTGCAGCGAAGGAGGAAGTACCGCAGACAGATCGGCAGGGCATCGCCCTCCATTGCTGGAGACAAAACCCAGTCCTGGATTATTTTTTAAAGATTTTATTTATTTATTTTTAGAGAGGGAAGGGAGGGAGAGAGAGAGAGAGAAATATCCATGTGCGGTTGCTGGGGGCCGTGGCCTGCAACCCAGGCATGTGCCCTGACTGGGAATCGAACCTATGATGCTTTGGTTCGCAGCCCGCGCTCAATCCACTGAGCTACGCCAGCCAGGGCTCAGTCCTGGATTTTTAAAAGATATTATTATTAAGGCTTTGGATAAACAGACAGTCATTTTCTATTAAAATTGAGTAAAAGGGAGACTCGGGATTAGAAATATGTTGCCAATGTTCCCCTTTAATAACATTATGAAATCTCCCAAACATGCGACTGAAACTGAACCCCGTTCGGTCGCATCGAGAGAAAACGGGATGAGGACCAGGGTGGAGTCTGCCACGGAGCGTGTGGGTCTCACGGGAAGAGGTCCGGGCCTTCGGGAGGCCTCCGTGGGGCCCAGCCGCGCTCTGTCCCCGGTCCCGGGCGCCCCCACATGGCAAGTCCGTGTCCAGGGAGAGAGACACGGAGAGAGCCTCCACGGGACAGGCGCCCTTCTCTGCAGGGGGGTGGTGAGGGCCGCTGCAGAGCCACGGGCACCTCGGAGCTCTGTCGGCAGCTCCACTGCAGCCTCACGCCCGGGCTGTGTTTCACCCTTTCGCTGGTTACAACCCGAGCACCCACACAGACGCCGCAGGCGGGCGGGCCCAGAAACGAGCTCTTCGCTGCAACTGTAACCCCTCCCAGAAGTGCCAAACGCACAGGCCCGGCACGCCCCGCGCTGACAAACCCCCCTCGACGGAGGCGTGAAAACCCGTGGCTCCGGCACACTTGTGGCGAGCGCGTCAAAGCTGCAAGACCCACCCTCAGCAGCCTGCAGAGTCTTCCTCCTTCCCCGGCTTGCTCAGAGCGTCCGGGCTTCGTAACTCAGAGCCACCAAAATGGCTACGTTCCCGTCCTTTTCCCTGCTCTTCCTGGTGGCTGGGGCGTGCATGACTCCACGGGGTAAGTAGCTCCTGCGCCTCCCACCCACGGGCACTGAGTGGACTTCCAGCCGCTGTGCCGTGCTGTCACATGGTAAACAGCAACAACGTTTCACAGCCACGTCCATGCCTCTAACCTGTGATGCGGCAAACCTTGTATACAGCTGCACACTAGGGTTTGCGAGTGCAATTGTGTGTCCAGGTGACTGCGGGGTGGCAGGGCAGGGGGGTCGTAACCTTTGAAAATGACAGAACGCCCGCCCGTCCAAGGAAGGGGCACACGAAATCGCCCACGTGGGCCCGGCGTGTCGAACAGCTGCTCCTCTTTTGCAGGCTCCAGCGAGGAGATCATCGGGGGGAAGGAAGTGACCCCCCACTCCAGGCCCTTCATGGCCTCCCTCCAGCGCCACGGCGTCCACCTTTGCGGAGGCGTCCTCATCCACCCGCGGTGGGTGCTGACGGCGGCCCACTGCCACCCCCGGTGAGTCCCCACACTCCCACCCGTGCACCCCCCCGCAGGAGGGCATCTGCCCTGCCCTTCGAGTCCGTGGGCACAGACCCCCTGGTGGGATGACGCACCCTCACGCACATCCACACTGTCTGCCCTGCATCTCCCTTTACGAGGGCTGGCCCGCCTTTCCCACCAAGGCCTCAGACAAGCTCAAGGCCCGCATGCACCACGAGAGAAGGCAGTCCCCCGAGGGGACCAGGAAGCCCCAGTGTGTACCTCCTAGCCCCCCGACCAAAGGACCTGCTTTGTGGGATTTTGAGGGTTAAATAATATCTGTGTCAATATTTGAGTACTCTGAGCATGTCATAAGTGCAACGAAGGGGCAGTCAGCAGTGGTAGTGACCATTGCAGAAGGAAGGGGACCCACTGTGCTCAGGGACTCTAGGCCCCTTGCAACAACGCCCCAGTGTCCCCCCCAGAGGCGAGGCCTGCCGCTCGGGAATCACAGCTGTAAGGGCGACCACCGTCCCAGGTGGGAAAAGAAAGCCGTGGAAGGTTTATCGAGGGAGGGAGAGGGAGAGAGAGCGCGAGCGGGATTTCTTTCTCTGGGACGCTCAGAAGGAAGGCTTTTCTGAAGACGGACTGTAGCTCTCGACGTCCATCTCAGCCTGAGACCCTCTAGCTCCAGCCGCACCAGCCCCAAACCCTGCCTGGGGCTCTGCAAGCACCGCCAACGGAAACGCAGCGGGAAGCAGCGCCAGCGCCGTTCAGCGTGTGTGGGGCGGCGCGGCGTGCTTGTCCTTAGGTTGGTTTTTTTTTGGTTGGCAAGTGTTCTTCCTCACGCTCCCGCCTGAGTACGCGAAGGGGAGACGGCGCCTCCCCCCGCACACGAGGACCGTGTGCCCTGAAGAGCCCCTGGGCGTCGGCTGTGTCGGAACCGACAAGCGAACTGGCTGTCCCGTGTTCTGGGGGTTACGTCTGACCGCCCCGCTGGCGGGACACGAGTGCGAACACAAGCTGGAAGTCTGGGAGCCGGAAACGCTGAGACCCTCTGTCTGGTTTCCACACAGCCGGCCGCCCGTCTGGCACGACCGCGCCCCGCGCTTGAGGTCCTGGCCGCCCCACAGGCCACGCTGCGTCCCCACCCCTTCCGCCCCTCCCGGGCACTTGCCCCGGGGACCGGCTGGGCAGAGGGGGCCACCGGTCAGAGTTCACTCGGTTCACAGGGCGCACACCCTCCAACACAGGTCGGCCGTGCAAACGGGCCCTGATCTCCCCGGACACAGGGCCTGACTTCTTACGGACGCTCCGCTCCGCAAAGGCTGACTCGAAAGAGGGAACTCAATGGGAGAGTTTATTTTTTATTGTTAATTTTTGCTAAGCTGAAAACACAGTGTGCAAAGCCCTTTGCAAGCCAGAAAGTGCTACCCGGTGCTAAGTGGTATCACTAAGTTGAATTTTAAATGTTGCCTAGTGAACTTGACTCAGTTGGGGTGGGCTGCCAAATTGCCCAATTAGAGAAAAAAGGTCTTGAATTTTTAAAAAAATTGCTAAATATCCTTTTAAGTGGCTGGAGTCTAAAGAACTCCAGAATACGTGTGGATCAGATTTCCTCTACGGGACAGAGGTGGGGTGTCAAACTGAAGGTGGGCTGGAGCTTGGAAAAACGTGACGCTTTATGACACCCCAAATATTTATGAAACGGCTTGACGGTGGCTTCCCACACATGGGCCCCCCAGTCCCCTGCGGGCACGGCTCTCTGGCTGGTGCCGGGGCCCCTCTCAGCAAGTGGCTCGGGGGCCAGATGTGGGCACCCCGCCCTCCACCCGTCCGCGGGGGTCCTCACACACTCGGGCTCCTCCCCGAGTGCCCACGCCGGCCACAGAAGGAAACCGGCACAAACGTGAGAATGTTCTCGTACAATCGCACGTCCAGCTTTTTAAGTCACGAGAAGCAAAACTCCCCGAGGTTTGCCCCCCGCCTTCCCAAGCCGCCCCGCGGCCTTGCTTGGCTCATGGACACTTGCCCTCCTCGCCCGCCGGCCCCCGGCTGGACCGGAGCCCCCCTCCCACCACCCCTTCCCCAGGCCTCGCCCCACTCGAGCCCCCCAGGCTCCCTGGGCGGGAACTCCAGGCCCAGAGCCAGACCCCGCTCGCCCGAGCCTCAGTGTCCCCATCTGCGAAACGGGAATCAGCACGCCCTCCCTCGAGGGCTGTTGTGAGGCTCCAATGGGAGAACCTGTGTGAGCGGCTCAGCACAAAGCCTGGCACGCCACAGCGCTTCCACGAGAGCCATCGGGTGTTCCGTCACTGTCTGTCCCTGGGAATGATGGTCTGTCCCGTGGTAACCGACGGGGAACAAGTCCGGTGGCCTCACCACGCTGACGGGACAGGACTGTGAGGCCCCCCTCTCGCGGTCAGTCACGGCACTCCCCCCTCTCGTCTGCAGAACAGACCCCCGAGAAACGGGGACCCCACCTGCCCTGCCGGAGCTGGAGCTGTGGGTCCCGGCAGAACCCTGCCCGGGGCCCCGGCGGACTGGCGGAGGGGATGGGGTGGGGGGCTGAGAGGCTGGGCGCCGGGCGTCCGCACCCGTCACGGGCGAAGCGTGGGATGGGGTCTCACTGCCCTACGTAGTGGCCACGTGTCACTCTGGGCCAGAGACCCCTTTCCCGAGTGAGGCATGTGCGGCCCGTCGGCGTTACCGCCCCCGAGGAGGGTCCCTGGGAGGCCCCGGGGAGACCGTGTTCGTGGGCGTCTTCGGCAGACGGGAGCTGGGCTGGAAGCGACCCCTCGGCTCCGCTGTGCGTGTGGTTGTGTTCTGGGCGAGACCAGGGACGCGGGAAGCCGCCCTTTAGACAGGCACCTCGGGGTGGTTCTGAAGCAGGTGGCCCAAGGACCACCCTGGAGAGACACGGCGCTGTACAACCGTAGGAATGAACGGCTCGGGTGCTCTTCCTCCTCCGCCGTGTGAGGGAGTTCGGGCCCGGGTTTAGCTGAGGAGGCGGCAGGTGCTAGAGCTCAGGTACCCGCGGTGTCTCAGGAGCGGAGAAACGGACTTCTGTGCACTGTGTACCCTTCACAGCTGCCGTGTGCCCCGAGACGGAAAGTCCCTCTGGGAAGTCCGGAGACCACTCGTAGGCTGCTTGCATTGTTGTTAATTTTTTAAAAGATTTGACTTATAGCCCTGGCTGGCGTAGCTCAGTGGATTGAGCACGGGCTGCGAACCAAAGCATCACAGGTTCGATTCCCAGTCAGGGCATGTGCCTGAGTTGCAGGCCACGGCCCCAGTGGGGGCCACGTGAGAGGCAACTGCACATTGATGTTTCTCTCTCTCTTTCTCCCTCCCGTCCCCTCTCTAAAAATAAATAAATAAAATCTTAAAAAAAAAAGAAAGAAGCTTTCCTAAACATTAAAAAAAAAAGATTTTACTTATTTAAGAGAGAGGGAAAGGTAGGGAAAAAGGGAAAGAAACATCAACCAGCTGCCTCCTGTGCACCCCCCTACCTGGGACCGGGACCAGTCCCACAACCCAGGTGTGTGTCCTGACCGGGAATCGAACCCGAGACCTTTGGCTGTTTGCGGGGTGACGCCCAACCCACTGAGCCATGACAGCCGGGGCTGTCTGTGTTGTGTTAGTATTCCCATGTCCCAGTGGAGATGAAAATAATCAAACATTTCAAAGGCATGAACCAACCAAGGAAACTGGTAAAACAAGAAGGTGGACCAGACATTCCCTCAGCGCCCTTCCCTGGTTAGAATTCGTCGTCCACGGCCTTGCAGCCTTCCGAGTGCCGGTCACTCGGGCAGGTGCCCGTGCCGTCCGTCAGAACTCGACCCCAGGGGGTGGGCTGAGAGAGGGGGTTCAGTCCCCCTTCCCGTCCAAAGCTTTGGGTGCGGGGACTGTGCCGAACTTGAGCTCCAGTCGGTCCTGGGAAATCCGACCCACATCCTTTGAGAGATTTCATCCCATCCAGATTTTGCAATAGGCCGACTTTTCAACAAGGAGAGCTGGAATTCCAAAGACAGACTCTTTTGGGAGAATTCAAAAAGTGGGGACTCCCGGCAGTCAGAGCCTGCCGTCGGCACTGGGTCCCCAAACCTGAGGCCGCGTCCGCTCTGCTTTTCTGTGTCTCTGCGCTCTTTGTGACTGGCATGAACTTTACCAGGGATCTGTGTGTGTGTGTGTGTGTGTGGCTGTGGGGTTGTTTGTGACCTGCCTTGACCCCTTTCCCAGTGACTGTGACGTGTGTATGTGTACCCAGACAAATGCAACGCTTCGTATAAACTTCCCTACTCCAAACGAGCGTTCGGAGAGGCTCCCCGGGGCGCACGCCGGGACGGGAACTGTGTGTGCGTGCACGCCGGGCTCCAGCGTCAGCAGGCCTGGCAAAGTGTTGCTGCTATGTTCACGAGGAGCTGTGAAGGGAGTTCAGCAAAACGCACAGCAAACCACGCAGCGTGGTTCCGCTGGGACGCTGCTGCTGGAGCTCTCCGCGGCAAGGCAAACAAACAGGAAAAACCCACCTGCTGTCTCCTCCGAGGGCTCACCAGCGGATGCACCCCGGACCTCCAGCGGGGCCGGCAGCGGCCACCACCCCGCGGGCCCGGCAGCGGCCACCACCCCGCGGGCCCTCACTCTGAGTCGGCAGCGACTTTCCGGCTGGAGGACGGCTCGCCTTCCTCGCCCACATCTTCTCTCCAGGAGGGGACATGGCGCAGGAGCCTGCCTCGCGGCCCCGTGAGGAACCACACGCCCTCCCCGGAGGTCAGAGATGGCATCTGGACGTGCCGACGCGCAGGTGTCAGTGAGGACACACCGGGCGCTGGGAAGACGGCACGGCCCGGAGAGGGACGAGGGACAGTGGTGAGGGGGGAGCCGCGTAAGTGGACTGCACGCCACGGATTAACATAAAACGGTTAAAACTGTGAAGTCCACGTCATGCAAATGTTACCGCAGCGGATAAAAGCTCCTAACAGTGGCAGATGCCAGCTTCAACCCACAACCTCAACAAACGCAGCGTCTTTTATTTCCACCCAAACCAGCACGGCACTGCTGTCAGCTGGCGTCCGTCGATCAGGGCTGCGCTCCTCCTCCCGAGATGGGGCACGGTTCGGGCGCTGGAGCGCAGCGCTGGGGGCCAGGGGGCGGGCTGGCGGCGGGTCAGTGGGCTCCCGACGGCGCCCACCATGCTTGCGTCCACTGAGACCCCCGTCACACCCGAGACGGGGGACCTGGGAGACAGTCCTTGCCCCCGTGTGTCCCCGACCTGCTCCGCCATTTCTCCCCCCCACCGGGGGGCCTGGCAGCGAGGCCGCCGACTCTCCACACTTCGCTTCTTCCCAGGTACACCAAACAGCAGTCCTTCAAAGTGGTGTTAGGAGCCCACTCTCTGTCTCAGAGCGAGGACTCCAAACAGAAGTTCGACGTCCTGAAGTTCATCCCATTCCCAGGATACTCCTCAGATCCCATCTCGAACGACATCATGCTGGTTCAGGTAGGCGGCCCCGCCCTCCCTCAGGCTCTCCAACCTGCCACGTCACGCAATTCGGCCGCCTGGCCACCGGCACAGAGGCACGGCCTTGGCACTCCCGTCGCGCTCAGGGTCCCCGGGTCATGTCCTGGAAGAGCCCCCTGCACCCCACTCGCTGCCTCGAAGGAAACGAGAGCTCACCACACACCCGTCGGGGCTGGCTCCACACAGAACAAAGCCACACCCGTGGGAGGGGACGGCCCAGCAGGCCCAGGGGCCCGCGGGGAAAGCTTTCTTCCCGAATGCTTTCAGCACTGGCCGGTGAGAGATCCGCGTGCGCTGTCCGCCAGGGCCCGGCGAGTGGCCGCAGGCAGGCAGGCAGAAGTGAGTCACAAGCCGGCCTAGACCGCACGTAGTCTCCTCCAAACGCAGTCTGCACCGACTTTGAGGGTCCCCTCCGGCAGGAAACGGCCCCGCCCTCGCAGGCACGACCCAGCGAGGTCATTCCACGGAACACGGCTCAGGTCAGGCCGGAGGGCGGAGGCCGGCTCACTTGAGCCTGGGCAGCATCCCCTGCTCTGGGCCAGCTCCTCCCCCAGCATCTTCGCTGGGGGGGGGGAGGCCCTGGGGGCAGCAACCGCAGAGAGGCAGCTGCAGGCCGCCAGCAGAGCAGAGGCGAGAGGAGGGGTGCGCCCCCGAGGTCGGGGACCACACATAGACTGTGCGCAGGCTGAGAGCGGGATACGGCTGGGGACAACCAATCACGTACTCCTTCTCAACCTGTCAGCTTCACACGGCCGCAAAACTCAACGAGAATGTCCAGCTGCTCCAGCCAAGCACCAAGAACGATATTACAGCCGGAACCAAATGCCAGGTCACCGGCTGGGGCGCCACCGACCGGGTCACCTTGAAACCCTCGGACACCCTGAGAGAAGTCACTGTCACCGTCATCAGTCACAAGCTGTGCAACAGCCCCGATTATTACAACCACAACCCCGTCATCCTCAAGGGCATGGTGTGCGCGGGGGACGCCAGAGGCCGGAAGGACTCCTGCCAGGTACGTGCAGGGGCTCAGCGCGCCGGTGGGGTCGGGGGCGAGGCTCCGTTCGCTCAGGGGCACGAGGACAGGAGGGGGGGAGCCCAGGCCCCCGGTCTCCGGGGCTCCTCTCCGCTCCCGCGCAGCGTCCTCCTGTCTCCCCTCTCCCAGCGCGAACGAACCTTAGGGCATCCCCCCCAACGCCCACAGCACGTGGTCAGTGCACGCTCGTGCATCAGCACAGTGCCCACGTCTGGTGACCTCTCCAGGCGGCGTCCTCCCAGGGGCGGCAGCGTCCGGGGACAACCTGCCTGATGCGGACCCTGGCCCGTGGGGTCCACCACGTCGTGGATGAGACACGAAATGTTCACACGGACCACCGAGTCCTGTGGAGGAAAAGGGACGGCGCGGCTGCTCTCTCAAGGGGAGGGAAAGCGTCAGCCCTCGCTGTGACTGGCCCTTGTTGCTTTTCTGGGCACATTGCACAATGGTCCTCATTCACGAGGCACGGGCTCCCTGTAGGTGGCCACCTTTTACAGAAAACAGAAGAGAGGAAGCCGCCAGTCACATCACAGACGAGGGAGGTTTGCGAATGCAAAGGGAAAAGTGGGTGCGCCGGTTGCACTCCACACTGGGGACGGTCAGCACAGACTTCAGGAAGTGACAGAGAGCACTTGCTGCCTGAGTTCAGGGCGAGGGAGCTTTTAGCAGAAGCGAGTCTCAACGTGGCCCAGGTGCAGCGCAGGCCTGACTCCCCACGGGAGAACCCACCTGTGGGCGTGGGTCCTGTCTGGGCCCACGCCACACAGAACGGTCTCCCCTACCTGCCCACTCTGCGCTCACCGGGGGTGACTCGAAGGTAACTCCCCCCAAAAAGAGCCAGCGTTTCAATGGGTTGGTAGAGAGGTCTTGCAGGACTCAAACGCAGAAAGCTCAGACGGAGAGTAGGTGCTTCTTAAACCCCGCTGACGGGCGGGCCGGGAGGAGCCGCAGTCTCGCCTCTCACACTCTTGCTTCCTGAGGCGGAAAACACACAGGTGCTCGTGGGCGCGGGTGACAGACGGGAGCACGGAGGCACTGCCGTTGTTTGTTCCTCCTCGCCCGAGAACACTTGTCACTGCTTCAGAGAGAGAGAGACGGAGAGACTTCCACATGAGAACCAGCGATCAGCTGTCTCTTGTCTACGCAGGGATCGAACCTGCAACCTAGGCAAGTGCCCCGACTGCAAATCGAACCCACAACCCTTCGGTGTATGGGGCGACGCTCCGCCCACCGAGTCACAGCAGCCAGGGCAGGCTACCAATTTTTTAAAAAATTTGAGCACAGCCCTGACAGTGTGGCTCAGTGGGTTGGGTGTTGTCTCACAAAGCGAAAGGTCATCAGTTCGATGCCCAGTCAGGGCACGTGCCTGGGTTGTAGGCCAGGTCCGGGCTGTGGGTGTGCAAGAGGCGACCCATGGGTGTTCCTCACATCGATGTTTCTCTCCCTCTCTTTCATCTCCCCTTCACCCCTCTAAAAGTAAATAAATAAATCTTTTTGAAAATTAGAACACAATACTCACATCACACTGCAGGTGTGATTAAGGAGGGGAGGGTGGGGTGATCTCCAAGACCCTGTGTGTGTGCAGCGCCCCCACCCTGCCCTCACCCCACCATCACCCACCAGGGCACCGGGTGCTGCAGCTGGTGGGGTGGGGCAGCAGTGACCAAGGCCAGGCTGCCACCCTGTCACGGTCCTTGACAGATTTGAGGTACACGTTTTGTTGTCAGAGGGAATCCTCAGGAATCGGCGCACCAAGCAAGGATTTGCAAGGTGTGTGTGTGTGCAGAGCACCCTGGTCAGCCCTCAGAGGGCACCAACGTGGGGAGAGTAACTCGGGAGACCGAGTTCCTGCCACCGGGGCGGTTCCCGCGGCACCACCCCTGCAGCTTGGTCTCAGGACCGTGATCACCAACACGACACTCGCAGATGACACAATTGTCTCATTTCAGTGAGTCGTTTCAAACTCTCTGTCTGCCCGTCCCTTGAGGAGCCAAGTTCAGTGGCCGCCGGGGAGCAAAGGGTGTGTGTATGGGTAGTCCCAAAGACAAGGGCACGGACAGACAGAGGCACAGACACCCGCCCGACCCTCAGCAAGGGGCCGTGCCCGCCCCTCTTCGCGACACAAGGGAACCGAGGACCAGACCAGAAACTTTTGTGTCACCGGCTGTGGGTGGCAGGAAAAGTGCAAGAGCGTCTGACCAAGCACCTGTCCCTTTTCTTGTTTCCAGGGTGACTCCGGCGGCCCCTTGGTCTGCAGCGGCTCCTTCTACGGCCTGGTGTCCTCGGGTCGTAAGTGCGGCGAGGCCAAGAAACCTGGAATCTACATCCTCTTCATGCAGAAGTTCCAGGCCTGGATCAAACGCCAGCTGCCCCCGCCTCCCGCACACTGAGGCGGCCGGCGATTTTCCAGGGTCTGCCCGTTACTCGGTTGTGGGGGTTGTTTGTCTTCCCCGTGACACGTTCCACGGGCCACCCGTGTACCTCCAGGTGCGGCTGGATGCGGCTGGGGACAGCCGGGGTCCCCTCCTGCCCCCTGAGGACTGACTTCATTACAGGATCAAGTTCTTTTTCGCAGGTCTCGCGGGTGTATCTCTGCCATGCTTACTTCATTCTGAATAAAATGTAGAAGAGCGTCTGTTTGTCTTTTATGGGGGTAACTATGGCAAATGGTACATCCCCCCACTTCCCCCACACTCCCCAGAAGGGCGGACGGTGATTACACCAGAGGGTCCCAGCGCCGCCCCCACCAGCTTTGTGTCGCGGTTTCGGGGGGATCCCCCTCAGCTGCGTTCCCGAATGAGAAACGGCGAGGGCGGCTACCCCCAGGCAGGTTAATGAAGAACGGCCAGAGCTCCTACAAATATTCATAATCGTCCTTATCACTTACTCATCCACACGTTCTTCCAGACAGGCTTTAAAACAACCTGCAAGAGTACCTGCAACAAAGCAGAGTTTGAAATTAAAAATAATTTTCCCCCCAAACATTAGAAGCAGAAATACCACATGACCCGGCACCCCCAAAGCTGGTGTCTGTCTGAAGAAGACGAAGACGCCTGCTCAGAGAGACACCTGCACCCCCGGGGCCGCCGCAGCAACACCCACGACTCCTGAGGCTCGGGAACAGGGCGCACGTCCCCCGGCGGGTCAGCGGGGGGAGACACTGGGAGGGGCGCGCACATGCCATGGGGCACCGTTCGGCCATTAAGAAGAACGCGGGTTTGTGATCGGCGACCACGCGCATGGGCCCTGCGGGCATCGCGCCAAGGGACACAAGTCAGACAGAGAAAGGCAAACGCCACCCGCTTGTGTCACATGTGGAAACAGACAAAAAACAGTGAGCCCACAGACACACAGAACAGATGGGTGGGTGGCAGAGGGATGGGAAAATAGGTGAAGGGGTCAATAGGTTAAAATTTTTAATTAATTCATGACATCCTGAAACCAGAAGTCGGTGGAGAAACCGAGAGGCCTCCCCGCTGACTGCGTCAGGACCGCCTGCAGGACGGGTTGCCCCAACTCCGCCCAGAAATCCCGCGGAACGGGCTCCAGCTGAGCCTGGCCACCGCGTTGCTGAGAAGCAAGTCGGTTGGTTCTGAAAAAGGGGCAAATCTGAAATCCACTGAGAAGGAACATTCTTAATGCCATCTCTCTTTTTTAAGATTTTATTTATTTATTTTTAGAGAGGGAAGGGAGGGAGAAAGAGAGAGAGAGAAACATCAATGTGCGGTTGCTGGGGGTCATGGCCTGCAACCCAGGTATGTTACCCTGACTGGGAATCGAACCTGGGACACTTTGGTTCGCAGCCCACGCTCAATCCACTGAGCTACACCACCCAGGGCTCTTAATGCTATCTTACAAAAAAAAATAGCAATCAGTGTGGTGAGACCAGTTTTGTAAACCTTCTGTGCAGGCTGCTGACAGGGGATGGGATGGTTCAGGAAGTGCGTGGGGAGGGGGGCCGGGGAGGGCGGTGAGCTGTCCGTGGGGGGGGGTCCCGTGATCGGATGGGGGTGGGTAGCTTCTCCTTCAGCGGGCAGCGGCCGCAGGGCCAGTCTCCGCCGTGGTGCCCAGTTGGGCTCCAGGGGACAGACAGTGCTCGCTCCCAGGCGGCACCACCGGGGTTTCCTGCATCGGCACAGGATGTGTGCTTTCACATGTGTTTGTTCGTTCGCCTGTTCCCGTGGCCGGTGGAGACCGTTACACGTTCAGCACCACTGAGCTGCGAACGCCACACACTGGTCCGGAGAGCGATCTGGTTCAACTGTCCAACGGCTTTGAGAATAAAGTAGTAAAAAAAGTCCTTTAAAGATTCCATTTCGTATCATGTTGACTCATTAAAAATATACTGATCATCACCCTGGCTGGTGTGGCTCAGTGGATTGAGCGCCAGAATGTGAAACAAAGGGTCGCTGGTTCGATTCCCAGTCAGGGCACATGCCTGGGTTGCCGGCCAGGTCCCCAGTAGGGGGCGCATGACAGGCAACCACACATTGACGTTTCTCTCCCTCTCTTTCTCCCTCCCTTCCCCTCTGTCTAGAACTACATAAATAAAATCTTTAAAAAATGATTTAAAAAATATATATATATTCTGATGATAGCCCAGAAATCTGACTAAATTTCACGAGAGAAAAAAGAGGGGACCAAGGAGACGCTGGATCACCATTCGAGACAGCGCACAGGGTCCGGCAGAAGCACGGCTGCCGGGGTGTGGTCGGCGGGGCGACAACGTGGGTGCAGTGATGTGTGGTTTTCATTTGACATTTCGCCTAAAATGTCAGGTGCGTGCCTCAGTGGGATATTGTCGTGTTACGGAATGACATGCTTATGATTTTGTAATAGAAGATTTTGTCACAAAAAGGGGGCGTTCCAGGTGCCGGAACCTGTATTTCATCTAAATTCCAAATCCGTGGAACACCTCGCTGAAACCCCCTTCAGTCTAACAAACAGACCCAAGACCTCCTCGGGCCGGGCCGCGGTTGGCGAGCGCCCGCAGCGCCGTCACCACCACCGCTGAGAGGTGCTTTGGCGTCGGACTCTCTGCCGCTCACGTCCAGCGGTCCGGCCGGATCCGGCGGCCGAGAGGGAGCCCCCCCACCCCGGCCCCCGATGGCTGCGGCGGGTCTGGAGACTCTGAAGTGGGCAGATCGACAGCTTATTCTGGCAGCAGCCGGTGATGAAGCCCCAGCGTTGAGAAGCACCCCCTCCGTCCTCTCAGGAAAGGAGCGTTTACCAAACCCACCGAAATCTTCCCCACACGGCCTGGAAGAACACGGCGCTGTAGCCGGGGCGGTTCTGGCTTTGAGGGACAGCTGGGTTGCACCTGCGGCCTTGAGTGCCGGCTGAGAGCGACAGTGAGGCCGGGGCCAACGGTGGACACTGCTCCCAGGCTTTAGGGGGACACAGCTGGCTCTTGTTCCTCTGAATCACTTGCTCTCTCCCTTCTCTGGGGCTGCGGACAGAGCCCATGGGCCTTCCCCGCAGACGCAGAGAGACGCTACCAGCTTTGCTGGACGTCCAGCCGCTGTCCTAGAAAGTGAGGGCGCCGGAAACAATCAGGCCCACACACAGTACCCACGGAACCTGGACTCCATCCACGCAGACCCACGGGGGCAGCTGAACTGGTCCGGAGCCCGGGAGCAGGGCCGGCCCTGCCTGGAGACCCCCCCAGAGGTTCGGCGCAGCGCAGCCCCCCTCCCCACCCCCCGCAACGGTAGCAGGAGCGTTGCTCGGGAGCCCCACCTTCTCAGAAAGGGGCCCCCTCGCAGGGGAGGGGCTCTCCGTCCACCAGGGGCTGCTCCTTTCAGGGCGAGCTCTGCGTTTGGGGCCCAGCACCCCCGGGAGGAGGGAGAGAAAGGAGGCTGCCCTGCCCGCCCCCTGCCCCCGGGGGAACGCTCAGACCCCTCCAACAGCCCCCAGCCGCACGAGGCCAGAGACACAGCCACAACGCTGCTCAGAGGCCGTCCCCTGAGTTAGGAGCCCGCGTGGCCGCTGGCGGGACCCTGGCTCCCGTGAGTTCCAGTGACTCAGCCCCCCCTTGCCGTGGGCACCCGTCGACTTCCTGTTACAGACGTTCCCTCCTGCGGGCGGTTCGCTGAGTCATAGCAGTCGGGCCCAGAGCGACAAACCCCTTTTCTCCTCCCCGTGGGAGGTCACGTTCACTTTCAGGTCTTCGCCGCGAATGTCTAAGGAACAGCCCATGACAGGCAGCGAATGGGGGGTGCCCGGAGCTCCCCCTGAGAATTTAGCAGTAAGTCAAGTTAAACCGCCCCCTCCGAGAGTTCACACTGAAACCCCACGCGTGTCGCATTGTCAGAGCTGAGAAACACAGCATCGCCCTGGGGGGACAGCGGGGTCCCCCGGCCTGCCCGGCTGGTTGCATCTGCTTGCAAACAGCTCCGAGTGTCCAGGTCAGGGGTGGGGGGCTTCGGCCTTGGACGGAGGCCGGGGAGGGGGCGTCACAGGCGGTGGGCTGACAGGACCGCGGGAAGAGGGGAGGCGGGCCCCCCATCGCCAGCCCATCCCTCCCCCGGCCTCGGCCCATGAGCGCCCGCCCAGCCGCTCACCTGACCATTCCGAATCCCCTGCTCGCCAGCAGACGCCCACGAGCATGCTGCCCCCGTGAACACCGTTCCTCGCTGCAAATCCATGCACACTGGGCTTGTCTACAGCTGTCACTTGTCTACCTCTAAGTCCGGGTCATTGGCATTTCTCTTTGAGACTCCGATTCACTTTTGTTGTGCTGGAAAAAAACCCAGTCTCTGTCCCTGTATTCACGAAGGGCAAGCCCTGGGCCTTGGCGGCTTTACCAACACAGCGAGTGACTAGTAACGACCCCGTGAGACTGGCGGCCTGCCCCTCCCCCAGAGGGCACTCCTGGCGCCCCTGCTCGGGCCACAGGCGTGAGATGCACTCATATCTGGAGCATCTTCAGAGACCTCGGCCCATCAAGACTCTGACTATCCAATAACTCCAAGAAGGATTGTGACTTTTTCACTGGGTGCTATCGGTTCACTCAGTATCGGAGGGTACGGTTTGCTACTCAGCAGCTGTCGCCTCTCTCCCCGACGAACAAAGCGCGACTCCATTTGGAGCCGCGCATGCACGCAGCCAACAGACGGTGTTTGCCAGCCTCCCCCCCTCCCCCCCAGCTCGTGGTGCTCAAGGAGACGTCAGGGAGCAGCCACGGCTGGGAGCTTCCAGGAAGGTCCTCTAAAGAGAACTGATTCAGCAGGAAGCAGGGGCCTTTCCCTATTCTCCTTTCCACTGCCTGGACTGCAGGTGTGATGGCTGGAACTCCCGCAACAACGCTGGAACCATGAGGCGAATGCGAACAGACGCCCCAATAGCAACAGCGTTAGCGAAAGTGAGGCAGAAAGAAGGAGCCTCTCTGCTGTGCCCCGCTGAGGACTCCTTTACGTGAGGGAAAACAAGCCCCCCCTTGTCTGGCCCACTGTCACTTGGGGTGTTTTGTTTTCCTCGTCCCCCCCCAACCCTAACAGACAAAATCAGAAACCTACTGGTAAAACCCCCGTCCCTGACGCACGTTCCGAACGACGACAAGCATGCGTCTTCCTGTCCTTCCGCCCAAATCCTCCAAAGTCCCAAGGGGCTTTAGCTGGCCACCTTACCCT